GACACGTTTTATGATAAGGTGCATTCGACCTTGTTCATCTCTTCATCGCACGACAGTACTCCACAATCTCTTTGAGCTTAATTATCTCGGTCCCTATAAAAGGTATCAAAAAATATTTTGATACGTTGGAAACTGTGTTTTCTGGATTACGAGACGCTTGATCCTTGGCAGCGTCACCAATAAGTCGTTCAGTTTCATTGAATGCCAAATAGGATGGTGTGATTCGGTTTCCTTCGAGATTTGCAATGATTTCGATCTGAAAACCAAGGGAATTGAAGATGAGACCCTCAAGACACACCTTTCCATTCTGATAAACCCCAACACATGAGTCATTTGAGCTTGTTGCAGGAGACGTTGGTGTTGGCAGAGCACGGTCGATCATGCAGACGGTTGGAGAGAGTCAGAGGAAGAAGAGTGAGCCGGCAACAGTGAAGAAGAAGAAAACTCCAGGTGAGGAGAGAGAAATTGAGTTTTGGAGAGAGCGAGGTACAGAATTATTGAAGAGAAGCATAGTGGAAATTGAGCCAGAATTTGATTTATTTTTGTACACTGATGCTTCGGCGCGAGGAATAGGAGCGGTGCTTAAGAATGATATAGATGATGTTTTGTGGAAAATGTCGGAATTAGGCGATAGCGACTTTGAAGGACAGTCTAGCGCTTGGAGAGAAGTGACGGCAGTGAAGAGAGCGGCAGAGGAGCTAGTTGGGAAGGTTAATGGAAATATACAAGTACTTGTGGACAGTCAGGCCGCTGTGAGTGTGTTGAGAAGAGGTTCTATGAAGCCAGAGTTGCATAAGTTAGCTGAAAAAGTGTGGGAAGACTTGAGTAGCGTAGGAGAAACCCAATTTTTGTGGATTCCAAGAGAACAGAACGTGGACGCGGACGAAGCGAGCAGAAATTTTTTTTTTGATGACTGGGGAGTGGCAGGCAGAGTTTTCAGACAGGCGCAGAGATTGTGGGAGAGATAAAAGTTGATTGGTTCGCTGATGCGAATAACAGAAAGACAGAGGTATATTTTTCTAGATATCCCGAGTTCGGAACGTCTGGCGTCAACGTCTTCGACCACATCGAGAGGGCAGAGAGGATGGGGTGTGCTTTGTGGGTGCCACCTCCAGTGCTGATACCGCACTTGTTGAAAATGGGTAGAAAAAGAAGGCTGAGGGGCGTTTTAGTAGCTCCATTGTGGCGGAGTCACGCGTCATATCAGGCCCTTGTTGATCATTCGGGAAGATTCATTAGAGCTATTAAAGATTACATTATTTATGAGAAGAATGACAACATTTTTATTCCGGGTGAAGCCTCCAAACATTGTGAAGCCATAAATTCTAAATACTGTAGATCTGAGTTCATTTTAGCGCTAGTTGACTTCTCTCGATAGGCCCCAGGCTTTGTACATTTTTCTACCTTATTAACCACGTTAAACCTAAATTTAATAAACATGTCACATAAAATTCCTTTTTCGTAGTGATGAAACAGAAAAACATATTCTCTTGTAACGTAGAGGAAAGAGAATATTATGTTTTTCGTTGAAGATCGGAGAAAAAGGATGCGCGAGATTAAAGGCGCACACACTTTCCAGGCGCCGCGGGTCTCGAAGCGATCATGCCCGAACGGGCATGAAACTCGAATTTCGAAATCATTCTACGTGTTTTAACGAGTCACCCAGCCCACCCACCCGGGGAAAAGAGAAAAAGAGAAAAAGAGAGAAATGAGAGGGAAAAGAGATTAACTATTATTTTCAGAAGGAGCCAAAAGACAGTTCGTCGAAGAACTCGAGCAGAAGGCAGGTGAAGAGTTCGGACACCACATCGAGAGACTCAAGATGATCCCCTTTGAAGCCAAAGCTACGTCCACAGCTGCCGCTTACAAGGCAGAGAACGACAAGAGAAATTCGTGGATTTCTCAGAAGAAGCTTCCAATGGATGAGTCGTCGTTTTTGTTTTACTTGTTGGACAGAGCTAAGCAAATCGGGAGTAGTGCTTTGGCGAAGATCTCGGCTGCCTATCAAACAGCAAATGAAGGCATTTCAGCCATCGGAGCGTCTTTTGTGTCAGACATCATTAAGTCAAAGAGAAGAGAGGAAAGCCTGCTGGAGAAAGAAGTAGTGAAGGTGACTATGGAGGATGTGCAGAAGATCACAATGTTGGCAATGAAAGAAGAGAGGAGAGGGATCGAGACGCGTTGCTGGCAATTCTATCGTTCAATGTCATGCTAAGAGCATCGGAAGCAGCTGAGATCAAGTGGGCAGGAGTAACACAGAAAGGCGGGATGATTGAGGTGCATGAAGGCAAAGAATGATCAGTTGAGACTAGATCGTCGTTCTTCAACTTTGAGACAAGATCGTCGTTCTTCAACTACGAGCCAGGCAGTGATGCGGACATCTTGATGTGCCGATGGAGACTCCGGACCAAAGGAAAGTGTCCATACGTTTTTTCGCATCTGGACGGCTCGAAGAAGCTCTCGAAACAAGCCATTTCGACGCTCTCGACGAAGATGCTGGCAGCGATCGGGAAGCCGGGAGCGACTCATCACTGCTTCAGAAGAGGAGGAGCCAACAACATGAGGAGAATCGGGCATTCAATGGAGGAAATTCAATGCAGAGGAAGATGGAGATCGGCGGCAGGACTTCAGCGGTATCTCACTGATGTTCCAATAGCTCAAGGATGTCTACAGTCTCAGGCAGAATCAGATGACGAAGAGAAATAATCTTGTAATATTTATAGCTTTTCTAGTTGTTTTGTTTGTGTTACTAACTTCTCATATCAGGTTCTATATCTCAAATTCTCTCTTGATCTCTAAATATTCTTTATTTCGATCTCCCGTTTTCTCCCCGAATTCCATTATCATGTAATATTATTGCTTGATTCCTTCCCGAGTGTGTGTGAGTTGCCACACTCGGTTGTATGTGTCTGTATCCTTTATACGACCTTATTATTACCACGTTAAACCTAAATTTGATAAACATGTGACATAAAATTCCTTTTTCGTAGTGATGAAACAGAAAAACATATTCTCTTGTAACGTAGAGGAAAGAGAACCAATTTTCATTGAACTGATAAGAAACCATTTCGAATCCTCAATGAGCAATTAAAATGGCTCATTCATTTGTAATGATTTCCGTCGAAAACTCTCTACACACAGAGTATGTCCAATCAGATCGTAATGTGACACGTGACACGTTTTAGGATAAGGTGCATTCGACCTTGTTCATCTCTTCATCGCACGACAGTACTCCACAATCTCTTTGAGCTTAATTATCTCGGTCCCTATAAAAGGTATCAAAAATTTGTTCACTAGTAAAACATTTATCATAAAATAAACAACAGTTTATCAGTTGACAGATTTTTGATATCTCTTACAGGAAGCGAGATAATTAAGTTCAAAAGTATATGACCAGGTTGAGCCA